GGGGCTCCTTATTTTAAGTATACTATAATGGGCCCCCAAACCCCGTAGCCTAAACTCCAAAGCCACCACAGCCTGATTGGTTCGGCCGCAGTGGCCTTGGAAACTAACCTACCCATGGGCCATAGAGTAGTTCCTTTTCGGGGTTCATATATAGATCCTATAAGTAACCCCCAAAAGGAACTACTATGGGGCCTACGGGTAGACTCCGACTGACTGTTGAGAAATCCGAAGTTCCTTCCTAACGCTTCCCAGTTCTGTTCTATGGCTTGGGGCTTGCATCGTCGCAGCCTGCGCAGCGTTACCGTGACCCCTGACCCTCTGCAGTCGCCTATGACAGGAGGTGAAGAAGGTCTTCAAGGACCATGCTTGCTGCCTGCAGCCGGCTTGTTCCCTTTATCCAAGGCTTTTTAAGCCCAGCGATTGAGCACCACTGTGACTCTGCCGCTGCATAAGTCGCAGCCCAATGATTGACAATCATGTCCTGACCGGCGAAGGTGAGCATTGGTAGGAGTAGTGAGGTGCGAGAGAGCAGCGCTCATGTAGCTGGTTCAATTTGTGTCTGACACACAATGAGCATTTTCGGTTTCGTTGTCCAAGGTTCCTGGGGTCCACAAGTTCCTCTTCCGAGACCAGCATGGTCCTGAGCCATTTTACGTGCCAGAAGCAGCCAAAGTCCTTCATACATACACAATCATGTCGCGCACTGTCAATTGTGCATTTCGGCCCCAGTGAAAATAGTATTGGATGTACCCATCCATCTACAGGTGCATGTGCATATGTACACAAATTGAGAGAATTGTGCATAAGTATGTAGACATATGTATATGTATGTATATGTATGTATATTTATGTATATGTATGTATATGTATGTATATGTATGTATGTATGTATGTATGTATGTATGTATGTACGTATGTATGTACTTATGTATGTATTTATGTCTGTCTGTCTGCCTGTCCGCCTTTGCATATATGTATGTATGGATGCATGTATGTATGTTCACACATGTGCACACATGTGCTTCCTTTTCGCGTCCGAAGTTTGGTGCCTGCCCGAACTGGTAAGTAAAGTTACAGTCGTTGAACAGCTTCAGGTGCCCCACGAAACGAAATCACGCTGAACACTAAACCTTGAACTCGAAAGCCATTGCCTAAACCCTAAGCCTTAACACCTAAAGCCTGAACCGCTTACCCGTGGAGTAACGAGGCAATCCTTCATTCTAGCCACGGCACAAGCTACATGTGCGAGTTTACTCAGGGTGCCCTAGTCCTTCGAAGTAGTAG